CTCTGATCGGCTTTTAGTAAAAAAATTTCAATAGGTGCGTTGTTTGTCGCTTGAAGAATGTCTGCGTTGTGCCTTGTTAGCCAACCAAGTTATAACCTTACGCTGCTATCACGACCCTTTCAGTATAATTTCGGGGTCATGGGGCAGCAAGAATTTTGAGAAGCATCCTAAAAAAATTTCGGAGAGCGTGACATTAATCATGCTCCTTTACCCGAAAACATTTTCGTACTTTCCCCTCCTCCTTGAAAGGAAAGGACCGCCACTGTTTGGTGGCTAGCTAACCAGGACTAGGCCATGAAGCTTGTACTATTCTTAGGGCCGCATGCATTAACATATCCGCTGGGGAGGGGATCGCAGCTTCAGAAAAAAGCTTCATATCCTGAAGCTCTAGATATCGGGATTTCACGCTGTCTACCTATCCATAAGTACTCTCACTATTCTTCACTACGAATTCTTAAACGGGAGCAAGAAGTTGTATAAGCCGCATATTCCAACTTTTTGTATGATCCCCTAATGATCCCTGACCCAACTGTTTCTTATTTAGAGTTATTTTTCTTTCTTCAAAGTCAGTAAAAAGATTTTAAAGTGCTGTTTACCCAACCCAGTGCTAATCACGTTTCTAGTGAAAAAAATTGATGTTGTGAGGTCATAAAATTTGCGATGAACCACAGGTCGAAAGTTGGGGTTCATCGAAAAAGTCGATATTACAAAAACTCATTTGTTTTCATCAACAACATGCCTAGCACTGTTGGGTTAGAAATTCAGTCAACTTTATAAGGCTTTCATTAACTTTGAAGGAAGGAAGAAAAATGACTTTGAAGAAAAGACGGTCAGCAGCCGAGGATCAACAGGGGAATACAAAAAGCTGGAAAATACGGCTTTGTACAGCTTCTTGCTCCCGTTTGTGTGAAGGATGGTGGAAATACTTAGGGATAGGTAGATAGCGTGAAATCCAGATATGTGGAGCTTCAGGATATGAAGCTTTTTTCTGGAACTGCGATCCCTTCCCCGTCTGGGATGTTGAAAGCCGCGGCTTGGCAGAATGACAACTTTGTGATTTTCATCGCCCTCTCCCTTGGATGGGCTGAGTACAAATCTGTGCTTCGCAGCTTTTAAAATATCAGTAGCTCCCTTTTTCGGACGTGAAAAGTGCTGTTTAGGCGGGTCTCGAAAGTGGCTGCTAGAGCCAATAATCCAATGCCGCCGACATGGGTACGGTATCGCATTCACGAGCCAGTCGCGCTCTAGAGGGCAGACTTAGTCTCCGCCCAAATAGCACTTTTCACGTCTGGAAAAGCAAGTTGCTGACATCTTTGAATTTGCAAAGCACAGTCTTGGACTTAGCTCGTCCAGGGGATCTAAGCACGATGAATATCCCAAAGTTATCATTCTGCCGAGTCGCTGCCTTCAATGCACCCAGTGTTCAATCTAGAGGTGTTGAAGTCGGCAGTTGTCAATTACAAGGGAAGCGTGTTTAGGCGAAGTGGCGTTTCTAAATGAGACTTATACCACTTCAAAAAGCATTGCACGGTGGCTCCAAATCTGCCTTCATTATCTGACAAGCGCCTCTGGACGCCGAGTTATGGACGTTTTTTGGAACGAAAAACGAATGCAAAATTTAGGTAAAAGCAATTGTTACAATCTTTCCAGCGCTCAGATAAAGCAATGTTAAGTATTGCATATTAGACAACATATATCCAGTGCATGCCACGACTGATACTTGACACTGGACCATGTGAGCAAATTTGGGCGATTTTATTGCGATTTTGCGTCCAATTTTTTGAGCCGAAAAACGCCCATAACTCGGCGTCCAGAGGCGCTTGGCAGATATTAAAAGCAGCTTTGAAATCATTGTGCAATACTCTACAAAGCAGTATGGGTCTCATCTGAAAAGGCCACTTCGACTACACACGCTTTCCTTGTTAGACCTTCCCTTCATTTGCGGCTTCAATGATTATGTTTTTGCAGTGAGAGTTGGTTTAGGGAGTGGAAGTATGTAGGGTTTTACGTGTTCTGACGCACCCAGAGTGTTTCAAATAAGTAGAACAAATGAATAAAAATCTTTCAGAAATAATTCTCCGTCTATGAATTGATGAGCTTGCTTTTGTAAAATCAAGCTCTGACCTGAAAACGATTGGTCGCAGATTCCAGTCTTCCTTAAATAAAAAAGATAAATTTTTAATAAGTTATGACCATCTTTCCCGATGTCAGCTACCAGTTGAAGCTAGTCAACAAAGATGTGTCGAATGGATTACAACTCCTTCATGGTCTTTTGAGATAAACTCGTATAAAACATCAGGGCCGGTAGTAATCTACCCTACATTATGGCATCAAAGATGCCGGCAAGTAGGCAGAAATCGCGGTGAAGTTGCCATCTCCGGCGGCAGCTCGCGGAGTGCTTGATAGGTTTTGATAATCTTTTGTAACCTTAGCTCGCAATCATTTCGCACACTAAATTTTGATGACGCAGACAGCCGCAAAATTGCTACCTCGCGCGCTTTCAAACCTATGTGCGCTAACTTGAAGTGCCATCACGTTGACCATTCGACCATTCAGTCAGCAATTGCTCTTTGCACCAGCAATAAGAGGAACGCACTGGTAAATGGCTGCCTGTAAGAGGGATCGATACATTGCGTGAGAGACTTTGTGCCAAAAAAGACGGTGCTCTTCATGATTCTAAGCATTACTGGATTTTTCCTCTGTAAGAAAATCGTTGTTTTAAAAAAGATAAACTCATAGAATGAGAAAAATGATAGTTTTTTGATGAAAAGTAGAATTTTTGATTTTTTCGCCCGACGTAAATTGTGTGATATCGCCGCAATTCTTCGCAAACTCGCAGACGCCGTCGGCAAAGATGCCAGCACCTCGACCTGGTAGGGGCACGTTGAGATGCCGGCAGCTTCCTCTTTCAAAAGAGCACTATTTTTCCACTTTTTTCCACTATTTTTCGTGCTCTCTGACCTGCCGGCAGCTGCCATCTCGCGGATTTCGACGAGCTGCCGGCAGGTTGCCGGCAACCGAGCTCGCGAAGTTGCCGGCAGCTCCTCCTGCGCTTCCAGATATTTTCCTTCAGGAGGATTTCTGGAACCGCAAATTTCGATGGAGCTTTCTATAGGGTCGAGGTAGCATCTTCATCGAGAATATCTTTTGGAAAAAGGCCTGGTATGGCCTAAATTTAGGGTTTTAGTTTCTGGCCACCTCACGGAAAGGTGCCAGCGATCTGCCGACGAGACCTGCTGCCAGGTCGGGGGGATTACTACCGGCCCAGATGTTTGTAACATTTTCATAGTTGCCGTTCATCTAAAATTGCTTCCACTTCGTTTCCGAAAAAATTTTGTCAATTGCTCAGGAGGTTATATATATCTGTTGGTGAAAATTTTTGACGTAGGATCAAGAGGCTTAAAGCTGTCAAAAAGTTGTTTTTGAGAACCTCATCACAGCACATCATTCTTTTTTGGTAGAGTAGCACTATTTGATTTTGTCACAACCTGCATTTGATTGATACATTGAACCACAAATGGTGTCTAAACACTAATCATCGAGGATTTCATGGGACAGTCCCTTAGTATTACGGTAAAGTTTGCACCATTACAAGTAGAAAACTTAATTAGTCATATTTTTCCCAAGTTTTTGATAGGTTTTGTGATAGAGCACACCCCATAGAGCAAAAGTGACTTTTACAGGATGATTATCAAAGTTGGCACCAAGTTAGAAGATTAAAGGCAAAAATTAAAAAGATTACCCAGGCTTAAAAAATCGAGAAAAATCAGAACTTGGTTCAAAAGAACCTTACCGAAATCCAGAACTGCTCACGCGTATACATTCTACATCAAACATTCATGTATGCAGTTGCTGTATTTTTTGATTGCTTAGTCGAGCAAACGAGAACTTTTGCATTTTTTAGAGCTATTTTCATAGTAATTGCAGTAATAGGACAAGTTTTTAGAAGAGTAACCGTTTTTTGCTTCTTGAGTATTTTCCGTAAAATACCATAACGTAATCATTTTTCCATAAAGAAGCTGGATAAAGGAGGCGAATTCGACATTTCCTAAAAACCGAAGGATGGAGGATAAAGGAGTCAGCGTTTTCAATACCCCCTGCGGGGATGCGGCGAACGCACTCTACTTCATAGTTGGGATTGCTACTGGATGCGCCGTGCCCTTCACAGTGACTTGCAGGGCTAGCCGATTACCAAATGTGCTTTTGTATTTCCAGATTACCCTGATACCAATTTATCGGCCCGAAGGGTAGAGGATTTGGTTGGCCTAGGGGCGTGGCTCTGATCTGAGCCCTGGTTCTCTGGGCTCAATGGCGCTTTATACCACTACGCTTCGTCCTCTTTCTCAAAGACCAGTTCTTGTAAAAAAAAGTTAACGTTTGTATAGAACCTGTAGTATGCAATTGCAAGCGTGGGTACAGCTCAAAATTGCTTTTGCAAAAACATAAAATCTATCGATTTCTAGCTGAAGGAAAAACGGCAATTGTATATATGGAGGTCTTATGAGGAATGTGCATGCGTGGCACATTCAGGACTTTTTTGAATGGAATTTTCAATTTTTTGGGCTTCTGTATTTGTGGAATTTTGCCTTCAAATTTTGGCGTAGACCAAAGTTGGTGCAAGCCTTCGATAATCATCATGTACAGTCGGTTTCATCCCGGATTAAGCGAGACATTCTACGTGGAGCAGCGCATGCGCATCGCTGGAGGCTTTGCGAGCGCATAGCGCTGGCATTTTGCCAAGCAAAGACTAAGGAGATTGAAGAGACGCAGACAGGGTTCTCAGCACGATAGGAAATACTGTAGCTGCGAAACGGCGCGAGCTGTTGCGAGGCGGACTCCCGCCAATCCAATTTCTGCCTAAAGCGGGTCGAAACTTACTGTATATCTTACTTCGCTCTAACCTCTTCTAACTCAAAGCAGTCGTCTAATTTTGTGCAAGGCTTATGTTGAAACCTAATACTCGAAGTTGGCAGACGTCCAAAGTCTACTCAGCAACTTACAATGACATTTTTGTGCACATCGTTTTATGTTTCCATAGACAACTCGTTCATAACCTTGCACACACTCGTAGACTCTGCAACAATGCTTATGTTTGAGTTAGAAAGAAGAAACGAAACAGATCTTATCTGATACACTTACTTTCGGAAGTCTTGGACCTCTCGCACGACGCATACTGATGGAACTAAATGGAGTTATGATAAGTTCGAGTAAAGGGAGAGACAAAATATTATGGAAAAAAGCCCTGCAAATGAGTTTCCGGATTTTGCTTAAAACATTATTTTCGCCTTCCTGAGTGAGCGTTGTTTCAGAGAAGAAATTTGTTTTTTGATGTTTTAGAATATTGTAACACACATGTCATTCTACTATAATAACGCGCTAAGGCCGTCTGTTTTTTTTTGGTGTGTCTTTGTGAAAATCTGTCTGTCACGAAATTCATAGAGGAAGCTGCAACTAAGCTATCGGGCTAAAATTTTGCATAACATACCGTGCCTGCGTGTAGGCCCACCATGCGCGAGGACGAACCGGTTCGATAAGCGGGTCCCTCAAAATTTGCGCGTCAAACGGGTTCACGCGCCTTTTGGCACGCAAAACTGGGTCGCTAATTCGACTTTTTGCAAAGTTATGATTTGCCTGACAAGTAACTCTGCGCGCCATAAATCCTAGCCCAAAAAGTGCTCAAAAAGTTTGCTTTTTTTGCGAAAACAGCGCCGAAAAGGTCGATTTGGCAAGGTTTGATTTTTGCACTGAAATGTAGCCCAAGGTGACTATTATCCTTACGACGATTACCAAACTAGAATAAATTCAGTAATCCGTTCAAATTCGCATTTGTTTCCTTGCAACAAAGCTTATTTTTCTCAAAATTACCGATCTTACATGGAGATGCTTCACGAATGAACAGTTGTTTGCAATTCATTTGTTATGCTCAGCATCGCGTGGTGAGTTTCAAAGCCATTCTCATGCGAGCATGAGAAAGGCATACGGATAGGGAGCCAGTGCGAACCTCCGCAAAGCCTCCGGAAGTGACGCACTGGTTTCTAATACGCTATTAGATTGGAATGAAAGTTTTCGGGCATTGCCTTTAGAGAAAGTTTTTGTTTCGATGTAAGCATTAGTTGGGACATGCTGCACACCCTAGCAATCTCCACAAAAATGTAGTAAGCGCAAGTCTTATTAATGTTCTTAGTGAAAATTCAAGCAAAAATTCAACTCAGACCTCCAACCTCTATAAACGTTACGAAACCCACACATGCTTTAGTTTATAGTATATACTTACTTACATACTTACATGCGCAATTCGGATAGAATTTGAGCCTTAACAACAAGAAAAACGAGGTAATTTGAAAATGGCAAACTTTGCTTCCATTGTCTCCAAGCTCCTCCCATTTGCTTTGTTTTCAGCTACAGACAAGTAAGAATATAGCTGTAAATTTTCGCGCATGTACATGCATTAGATCTCGAGATATAACAGATTTGATCTAAAAATGTCTAAAAATGTCCGAGAACTTCCTTTCCAACCTTATATTTTTACAGGTAAACAGGTCATGACAGTCGCATCAAAGGCTCTTGTTACAATGAAATGCGCAGGAGTGAGGGCGCAACATCAGTGTTCAATATGAAAGACGGAGTGGGGGGGGGGGGTGAGGATACCTTACATAGCGAGGAGATGTAGTGGATAGAGACAGACTCTAAAGGCGAAAAATTATCGTGATTACCATCCTACGCTTAAGAGCTTTGGACGATTTTGAGTTTTCATATTGGGACAAGAAGGACTGCAATGCCAAATTTTTCGAGAGAGCACCTAGCTCAATAACATACCCTAGAAAATGGTTTTCACTGGTTTTCGTTTCCTTAACCAATTAGAGAATGTTGCATTGACTTATACTCTTATTTAAGGATGACTCAGTGTTATTGGGACGGTAAGAAAAATAAGACCTAGACAATTTTGTACATCGCTTAGGTGAATCATAATTCTACAATAACGGATGCCGACCGGGGGTAATTTTGTAAACTTATGCGCTTTGCAGGAGAAGAGGAGAGACTTTTTCTCTTTTTATACAAATCATATTGCATTTTGGACAGGACATTATTCTTACTGTAGCTGTTATCTCATAAAATCCCCTGACTTTTAATCAGCTAGACGAGAGTTCTTTCGTCCAAATATTAGGTCGGTGCAAAAGTACTTTCCATTTATTGGACTTAGTCCAAATCCCGCAACGCAAAGTGTTTTAAAACATCGTAGGGGCTTACCTCCAGCACTTCCAACACTTGTGGGAAGAAACAGGAGAAGGCACGAAGAGAATATATTCATTAGGTGCATCCTGAAATCAATGCTACTATACTGAAAGTGAGCTGGAGTTCGCCAAAAAAGCTTTGTCCAATTTCTATAATCAGGCGTTCCCATTCTTATTTAGAATGACAGCACTGCCTGTTCTCCATAGCAGCCCTAACCAAGCCACTCTTTGCATCTTCTCTCTTAGGGCCGCATGCACTAACATCCCCGCGGGGAGGGGATCGCAGCTTAAAAGAAAGCTTTATATTTCGAAACTCCAGATACCTGGATTTCACGTTGTGTACCTATCCGTAAGTATTCCTATTGCCCTTCACTATGAACATGTTGAACAGGAGCGAGAAGCTGTACAAACCGCATTTTCCAGCTTTTGTGTGATCCCTGATGATCCCTGGCGCTTTTCTTCAAAGTCATTTTTCTTTCTCCGAAGTTAACGAAGAATCTCCAGAGTTGTGCAGATTGTCTAACCCGACAGTGCTAAGCATGTTGCTGCTAAGAACAAATGGTGCTTTGAAGTCATGAAATTTGCGATGATCCACAGGTCGAAATTTGAGGCTTACCGAAAAATTCGACTTTTCAAAAACTCATTTGTTTTCATCAGCAACATGCTTAGCAGTATTGTGTTAGATGATCAGTACAACTTTGGAAGGTTTTCGTTAACTTCGGAGAAAGAAAAATGACTTTAAAGAAATGCGCCGGGGATCATCAGGGATCATACAAAAGCTGGAAAATGCGGTTTGTACAGCTTCTCGCTCCTGTTCAACATGTTCATAGTGAAGGGTAGTAGGAATACTTACGGATAGGTAGACAGCGTGAAATCCAGATATCCGAAGCTTCAGGATATGAAGCTTTCTTCTGAAGCTGCGATCCCCTCCCCGCGGGGATATTAGTGCATGCGGCCCTTAGTCATATGGTTGATTTAGCTTTTTTTATTTTTTTTTATTTAGCGTGAACGGCTGTACGAGATAAGATAGTGCCCACAAGATAGTGCCGAGGTTTAGGTTGGCAACACTCACTGTGGAAGAGTTTTAGGTTTTTTCAACCAAGTGTTGGGTGCAAATTAGCCAATAATAAGTTCAGCAACTTGGAGGCTACTTCTCCTCAATATGAATTAACGTAAAGCCTGATACGCTAAAACTGATTCGGTAAGACTGCTTTGAGCTGAGGATATTTCTTTAGGAGATTTTGAGCTAGTTTTGTACTGACTTCAATCTCGTGCGTTGAGAAATTGAAGAGGCAGATGCAATGTTGCGCAGTAGAACGAAATGAAGACTGGGTCAGCACTCAACTTCTTTTATGATAAAAATGTGACGTTTTGGAGTTTTTGTAGCTCAGTCTATGGTACCTGTCAGTGCGCACAAATTCATCTGCAAAATTTTTGCGACTTTTGCATCTCAACACATTTCGTTCATTTTTTTGTCAATCAAACATTTTCCGGCCTTACTGAATCAAAAAACACTCATTTCATAAAATTCATGAAATTTACGAGTGCATACAAGGCCAAGAAAATGAAAATTTTGAGCATCTTGCATAATGGAGGTGTATTCTATTAGGTTGTTACATAAGTATACAGTATACAGTATAGTATAGTATACAGTATAGTATAGTATAGTATAGTATAGTATAGTATAGTATACAGTACAGTATAGTATAGTATACAGCTACATGAATAGAAACAGTATTGCTTCGTTTTTGTAAAAAAAAGAAAATTTTCGTTTTTTCGATCTCTAGATGAGGAAAAAATACAGCAACGGTACATAAGTGTGTTTGATGTAATGTGCAATTTTTAGGAGCAAGTTGGAAATTCGTGGGATTTTTCTGAACAAAGATATGGATTTTTCGCAATTTTTGAGGCTTCACTACGACTCAGATTTTGGATGCAAAGTTACACTGGATCGAAGTTGGTGCGAATTTTTGCATACCATTTTGTAGAGCTTGCTTTGCTCTATCGAATGGTATCCTGAAGCCCTGTAAAGAATATGAAGTGCATGACTTATCGCCGTTAGAAGTTAAGTGTAACAAGACTTATGTAACAACCTAATATAAAGCACTGATGCTGTTTAGGTGGGACTACATATCATTGAATACCGTACTTGCATATTGCGTAGACCATTATAAGTTTGGTTTGGTATACTTATTATAACGTTATGCTTACGTCGCACGATAAAACATTCAGGGACGACTGCAAGAGATGTCGCGTCCACAATGCAGCCACTCTCGCAATCCAGGTCAACTTACTTTACTATGCAAAATTTGAGTACAATGTTATAATTCCAACTCCTTGGTATTGACGAATATTCGAGACAACGTTGACGCATCTCACTCCTTCGAATTTTTTAGAGCCACAGATCGGGATTTTTCTTCAACTTTTTCTACCCTCCACTGAGCTTATTGTTGATAGTTACTTTGCTCACGATTTTTAGTTCCATTCGTTTAGTCTTTGCTTCAAAACATACGACTCAAGTTCCGGCTTCAAAAATTGCCAAAATTCCATTTCATCCTTAAACCAACAATTAAGTATCTCCAGTCTTTATATCTCAACCTCATATGCTGAAATTTGAGGGCACATCAAAAGAGAGAAGCTATAGAAGTTATTGCAAAACTTATGTATCAACAAGATACATTCGTAGCCGAGCACCTTCGGCTGGCACCCTGCCAAATCGCGGATAGATCGGCTGCATTTGATTCACTTCTTCTTTTTTGAGTACCATTTGTCGATCTATTTCACTGCGTTAACGTCCGACAAGTTTCAGTGCTGTTTGGCGGTTGCGCATTGGTTGAATTCAGGACGAAGCGTTTTGCAAAGATGACTTGAGCAAGAGAGACAGATGTATCGTTCCGCACGGACTGTTTTGTTTTCTCAGAAATCCATATATATTGCTAATGATGTATGATATTGTGCTCTAGTCGCGCTTAGTATAGTCGTGCGGGAGGTGGTAATAGCGACACGGTCGGGTAGACTTGTAAGGAAGCTCGTAAAATCCTCGGGAACTCGGCAACTGGAGGCGAGCGTCAGAGGGTGCCGAGCCCATTGCGCCGCAAAAGTAGACATAGGTAGAACAAAAGTCTTTTTTTCTTTGAAGTTTCCACCCCCCTCTCCCTACCTCGATTCAAACTGACCGCAGCAGCACTCTCCCCTTCGTGTCGTAATATTGGATAATGGAAGATTACTCCTATTTGATGTCTCGTGACCCCTCACGAGTCTCCGTACTTCCATTGCATCATTCATACAAAACACAAAGTACTACCCGCTGCATGGACTATTTGAATCACCAAGGCTTATTTCACTTTTCCTCTGAAAAAGGTGCAAATCAAAATGTGCTCAAATTCTTAGCAAAAGAGGTCTAAAGTCCATGGGAGTAATCTACAACATGCAGACTATGATCCATGTTTTTCAAGACCTCCTCCCTAAATTTCTTCTTGAACTATACGAACTACCTGCGCGCATCTTCAGGAATATCAATGAATATAACAACTTGGTTGACAGCGACAAAACTATTTCAGCGCTTTTGTGCAAACTATATTTGTAGTTGCACCTATTATCTACTTGCATTGTAGTAGGTGCCAAAAATAGATCATCCTATGAGCTTACATTCAAGCTTCCTTAACCCTATTTTTTGGTCTTATCCTTCGTTCCGACTATCTTGCTAGCCAAACTTGAAATTAAAACGGTTCAAAATCGCTTTACAATTGACTTTCTAACGTATACATCAAAAGGCAAACCTCAATTTTTCGTTCACCGAAAGCAATCAGACGATAGTGCGCTCCATGTAAAAGTGCGTTTCCTTGTTGCGCTCCAGAGAACAAAATTCGTTTTGTAACTTTACGCACTGTCAGTACTTTAACTCAACCTTAGAATGAAATGCGAGAGGGGCAATTGAGTGATAGGGTCGCTCTTGAACAAACATCAAGTGCAAAGATCATCAAAGATCTATGCAATATGACTGTATCCTACTGTATCCTCTTATCGCTGCAGCAGCTGCACAAAATAGCCGTAGATACGTTCATGTACTAGATCTAAAGCGAACGATCTGTATAAGTTTGTGGTTCTTTATTAAGCTCCCTTATTTTGGTCACTTCCAAAAAACTGAGTGAATGTTTGTACATTGCTTTATAAGTGGTGCGTTTGATTTGAATGCTCAAAATATCAAAAGTGGTAGACATTGAGACTATATTACTTTATGATAGCAGACGAGTTCAGCTCAGCTTATGTGAAAAGGTGATGTTGGTGTCTGCTCTTGGTGCACTTAATGGACTAAGCCTTCATGAAAAGACTATTGTTTGATTTTACGAGTTTCAGAGTTTCTCTCCCTTAATTCTCATTCTCATCTTGCTATAGAATTCAAAGTCCCATTCTTTTCTGCCTATAGAAAAATTGAGTTTATGCAGTAACAAAATGCCTACATTAATGAACATAGTGCTTACAAGCTGCGTCCGCCAATTTCAGTCTAACAAATGTTTTAGCTTACGTGCCAGACAAATGACTAATGTCTGTTCGATTTTTGATTTCGCGATGAAATCAGATGCTATCAAAATTTTGAGAAGTGCAGAATGCCCTAACTCCATGTTTACTGCAAAACGTTCAGATTCCCAAGCAAGCAAGAAAAACAGAGAAAAGATGAAGCAAAATACAGGGTGTTTGAAAAGTTCGTGTTCTTAAGCACTTCAACTGCGAATACTAACTCGATTTTTGCTATGTGCGTTCGCCAAACCTAAAAACCACTAAATCAACAAAGAAAAACACATAGACCAAAAATTTGGATTTTTTAATTTCTTCCAAATTAAGATTGAGATTTAGCAAGAAGAAAAAAAATTAGCGTTCGTGTTTGCTCGTAGTTGATGTGTAAATCACTGGTAATCATTGATTGTCCGTTCTTGAAAAACTACTTTGAGAAACTGCTTCCCTATAATTGAATGTCGTAATCAACACTTCAGATATTCTATAGGATATTCGGTTACATTACTTGGTCAGTAACCTCAGGCCTCTTTGTCCAGCTGAGTTTTGAGAAATGCTTAATAGTCTAAACTTT